CGTAATAAACATCGTCATAAACCACAAAAGGGTACAGTTTGTCAGAGCGAAACAGATAGCGAACGCGAGCGGGAACCCACTCCACCGGCCAGTCAGTGTATAACGCAACGCAAATTGAATAAGAATAATATACAATATGCGACACATCATCACTCTTCACCAAATGTAGCACCTGATAAACTACGTAAGCATCGCAACAAGACAGATTCTTCAATTTATGGTGCGAGCTCCGAAACCGAATTGCTTGATGGTGATATCTTGCCGATCTTTAGAAAATTGCTTACAGAGAAGAGTTCAAATTACAGAGGTCGCAGTGTGGTTGGCCAGAGCTGTCCAAATATATCAATTAAGTGTGATATTGTGGAATATTTGTAAAACTCTGGAAAGTTTATGTATTGTCAGCTAGCAAAGGAAAGATTTTATATACTTCTTTATTTAATTAGAATTAAATTCTAACTATAGTGTTTACATAAAAAATTTATTAGCGCAACTAAGGTTTTTAAAACTAATTCATATTTTAAATATAATTCTAAACCTTATGTAGTAAATAGAAAATGTAGTAATTATAATTATAAAAAAAAATTAAAAACCTACAGCATATTACAAATTTATTTATATATTCATAAGCAATAATCTAGGATATTTTGATTTTATAGATTGAATGTTATTAAGTAAGAAGTAATTACACGCGAATCAAATGACTTATTCTAAGATCTTAATTAGTATATATAATGTTCAGTTTAACACAAAATATATGCATTAATAAACAAAAAAAAAAAATTAAAAAAAAATGTGTTTTTAAGAATTGATATTCGATCTCTAACCATTTAAAGGATAAATTATTGTACTTTTCAGGACGATTCTTCATTCATCAATCTACTGTTACTTTTTTGTCTCTGCCTCTCTTCACTTGTACTCAGCTCCAATATCTTTTTCGGCATTCTTTCTATTGTATACTGAAAACATAGCCAAATAATCGAAAACACTGTAATTTTAGAAAAATACAGCGTATTCTTTAATATCTTTTCCCCTCCAATCCTATATATTAAAAATTCTAGTTAATTTTTTTTTTTAAATATTAAATGTTGAGTTGGTTAATTGTACTAGCGTGAACACTCCACACCTCTTTATTGCAACTAGAGGTATTAATATTTTATGTCTTTTGAGTATTTTTGTATAAGTGATATATATATATATATGTCTTATATATTTACTGCCTGTATTCCTTTCAGGATTGCAGATAAGTGTTATCAATTCGATTAAATGAAAGATATTTGTAGTTTAAAGCCGCTGCTTCCTATATTTTGCATCTGTTTTAATCATATTTTCTCTTGTATGAGAGAAGTCATACGTTTCTACTAGTAGTCCTAACTGACAATTGTTCTAAAGTTTTAATTTTTTTATATCAATGTGACTCAACCCTTCGGGAAATCTATTCTGACTATATATTCGCAAAATTATGAATAATATTATATTATTATCCGGTTATTATTTTATATATATTTATTAAACTAGTCTACCCGTTTAAAATAAATTTAGTATTTTGTACTGTAATTTAAGTAATTTATGGCGCAAGAATGTGGGATTCTATCTTGTTAGTTTGGAATAGTGTTATGTGTAGAGAAATGGTGACTTCAATGAATATACCATTTAAATAAATGATTCGTTTTAGCGATAGTTTTAAATAGTGTTAAATTTGCAACCCATATCTATATCTATAGCGCTTTAAGACATAGCAATATGAAATAAGCTTATGAAAAAACTATTAAGCGCTTTACTATTTTCTTGACTTTTAAGAATTATAACTTTAAAACGATCAGTTGCATTAAGTATTGATTTTATGTGATAGTTTATACATTATCTGATTATTGTTAAACATTTCATTGAAAATGGTACATCGTGTAAAAAGATATTCCAGAGCATAGATGAATGTAATTTCGATAAGAAATCACTATTCTTACTACAATAAAAAAAAGAATGTACCATATATTTATGAGATGACTTCTATTGTTTATTTCTATTACAGTTAATAACCAGGACATTACTCATTCACGCCAACAAAATTTGTATGTAAAAGACGTAAAAGAAAACAATAGTACATACCGTTTTACGTCCAACTAAAATATTAAAATAAAACATATTTTATAATTAATAATTAATAAACAGGTTTAGTTATAAAATGAAAATCAGAACTAATAAAAGGAACTTATGTTTAATACATATTAATAATTTTTTTACTTACATATTCATTATGATTAATTACAAAACATAACATCCTATAATTAACAAAAAAGGACACGAGCATCAGCTGTCATGGCTTTCATGTCATGGCTTATTTTTTACAAGGTAGTAGATAAGATATTTGAGAAAAATTATTGGGAATAGAAGTTAAAGTAAACCAATTCTTAAATAAATGATCAATGGATGGTGGGCTATTATAAAGAGGGCAGTTAAGAAGTCGATCGCCACTGAAAATATGCTCATGTAATAGCTTTATATGTCCAGTATGCATGCGATCATAATTTTGACATTTAAAATTAAATAAAAAATAACATATTAATAATCATGCATTATGGAATACGTAAAAAATACCATTTGGCATACAATTTATTTAAAAATAATTGTGAATTTATATTTTATTAATAGTAATAGTGAAACTGATTTGGAAGTATGACATACAGCTATGGGGCTGTACGAAATAATCGAACCGAGACATCATACAGCGAAGTCAAAACAAATGTCTAAGGATGATTATAAATGCTTATCGATATGTAACAAACCAAGAAATACATAAAGACTTGAAAGTTTCAACAGTCAAAGAAGCCATACAAGAAGTAGCTGCTGGGCATGAAAAACGGTGACTCAATCACATCAATGTAGAAGCTATTCAATTGCTGGATATTACCAATGAACTGAGAAGACTAAAGCGAACAAAACCTCATGAGTTTACATACATAATATTGTATTATAAATTATTTGTATTATAAATTATTGTATTATTATTATAAATTATAGTGTTATTATTGTATTATTATTTGTATTATAAATTTTAACATTGTATTATAAACTATTTGTATGGGAACTGAGCATTGGTTCAGTAAGCCCGCACACATATTACTTTATATTTATTAAGTACAATTCATCAATAATAATAAATTAACTAATAGTTAAAATTGTACTCCTCATATCCAATAAAAGGATCTTTTTAAAAAAAAAATTAATAGTAATTAATTGTGTAAAAACAAAATTTATATATTTCATAATCAATTTATTCATTTTTTGAATTGAACTGCAATTTACTATTGTTTAACAAAAAAAAAAAAGAAAATTCTATCATTAAATGCGCTATAAACGTGTGTTTATTGAAACATATTACCCACTGTTTAAAAAATTTATAGACTTCTTATGCTAAAAACAGATAATAATTTTTATGGTCAAAACCAATTATAATCCATTTCTAAATTTAGGCTCAGACTCGATCAAATATTTGTATATCAGACCAAACCACTTTTAAGAATAAAATTAACTTTAATTATATTCAAACGTTTACTTTTAAACGACTACATATTTTATTGGTAGATATTTGTACAAAAATTATTTTGAAACAGTTTTATATTTTTCATAATTTATTACAATCAATTCAAAATTATAACATTTAGGAATCACAATTAAATTTTATAACATCTACTTACAAATAATACATTAATTTATCACAGTGTTTTTTTCAATTTTTTTTTTATATTTTGTCTTTTGTTTTCATTAAATACTATACAAAACTACGCTACTTGCAATATATTTATTTACCTTAAGTACATATTAATTTGATCATAGTTACCGACAATTCTTATACAATTATAATATATCGAACTCAATTTAATTAGCTTTTCTAAAGTAAATTCCTTAAATTGCTTTAATTTGATGCACATCTTTACACTTGTATAAAGTTAACAATTCTATATAAATTAATAAATTCAATTAATAATCAAATCGCTGCGAATTGCTTCATATTACAATTTCATTGATATAGTTTATATAAATGTAACACTTTATTCTACATAATTAATTGGTAATTTCTTACTATTAAAATATTTTAATTAATTTTTTTAATCAAATGTTTTGAAATGTGGAAAGCAAAAATAATATATAATAATAAAAAAATCTCATTAAAACACAAATTCGTTTTTCAGAAAGTTTTTCAACTTTCTAGTAGAGTTATGATTTAATTAAAACAAACAAAATAAACCAAAATAAACAAATAGAATATTATAGGATAGCTAATTTAAATAATTTGGTTTTATGTAAGTAAATGACAAACAATAGTAAAAATTATATAAGAGGCGTAAACAGAGACTAGTTTTGAAACTAATTCACAATTCATATAAAAGCTTTTATTTGAAAAAATTTTTTATAACTACTATAAAATGGTCTCACGGATTCGAACTAAAAACCGCTCGAACTAAAAACCGCTCCCCCTCTTTGTATACTCCACTGATATATTATATAATTAACAAACATTAAATGAATTATACACAACATTAGAGAATTTTTAATGTCATCACATCTAGTTTTAGTTTTACTGGTTTTAAGTAAATTATAAATTTCAATCATTTATATCTGTTAAAACGTTAATTCAAATGGATTTAACTAAATAATTTAAGTATAAAGACAAAAAACAGCTAAAAATCCTAACTCAAGTGCAGTGCATTCTAATAAAACCTACAGTAATATATTATCCTATGAATAGTGTATAAAATTTGTTTATATCATTTAACTAATACAATAAAAACAGTTTTAAGAATATATAGATTTCACATAATACATACATAATACAAGTTATAAAACGTAGATGTAGATTATAGTTACATACAAATATGTACATACAAATAAATTATCAATATATGTTACTGTATATATACTTTAATATAAAATATTTGTAAGTATTGATTATAAAACTTACAACTTTTTTTTATATACACATTGTATATAAGATATATCAACAATTTATATATAATTGAACAGTTTCAAATTTATTTGGTATCTGTTGTTGGGCATAGCTCAATTGTAATATTAGCAGTCAAAGTACTATTGAGTGGCATTTTTTCTGTTCCACCTTGTACATTACCGAACTTGTTGCTTTTTAATTGAAATGAATGCTCAAATTCGGGAGGTAAAGTGTGTAAGCATTCTGTTCCAGAAATTGTCTTTATTAGTGAACTCGATGTTAGAGACTCCAATTCATGTGTTTCAGAATTAATAAGTTCTCCAATAGCTGAACTTGATGGTGTTAGTAATTGTTCTGTCACGACAATATGGCTTTGTTTTCTAAAATACATAATAAAAACAATTAATATAATATTATAGTATTGCATTAAAATGTGTCACCTGTCATAGTATTTTATGCCATTCGTGGTGGGCCGTTTTCTAAATATTGGATAACTAAATTGCATAAAACCATATTGCGGTCCAGCTACTTTTAATAAGCTCATAAGAAAAAAAGTTGAATATAACCAACTAACAGTCATCACAATAATCAAAAATAAACCAATCTGTATGTATGGTAAAACATTAGAGAATAACATTAATGATCCAGCTATTGCAGTGGTAATTGCAGCCATTACTGTCGGACTAATTATTCGTGTCAAAGCGAACTTCGTAGCAGCAATGCGTTCACTTGTTGGAGACATACGATAATGTATTCCGTAATGTAAACTAAAATCGACAGCTAACCCAATAGCAGTTGTTACAGTTACACTTTCTAACACATTCAGCTTCCAGCCCATTAAAATCGTTATAGCCACGGTTGTAAAAATTGTCAACGACACTGTTATGATCGCATAAAATGATATCAGTACATTCAGTGTCACAAATAATAATATTATTAATGATATACTCATTGCAACGATTATGGCAACTACTGTACTACTCGCAAGTGTTTCCTGCACATCATAGAATTTCAATTCAGATATAAACCAACCACCTTTAAGCTCTAATGGTGCTGTAATTAACTGGTTCTGAAACCAGTTTTCAACAGCATTTACAAATTTTTGGACATCGTGAAAAACTGTTGTATACGAGACATTTGATTCAAATTCAATTACAATAGCTTTTACAATGGGTGGATTTACATTAAAGTTCATTGTATTATCTATACAATCATTGTTATTAAAAGTACTTTTTAAAATATTTTTGGGCGCTAGAAATCTTGGACCAGCAACACCAGGTATAAAAAATCGAGTGGCATATAAATATGATATGCTTTGTGGTAAACACTGATCAAACACATGAGGTTCATAAGGAAATTTTGAAGTTTCACAGCACGGAGTTCGATTAGTTTCTACCATACTATCGATGCACCTAAAAAATATATATATATAAAGTAAATTAATTTAATTTAAAAAAAAAATAGTTTGTTTAATTAAAAGAAATGCGTATAAAAATTATTTCTAAAATAACAAACAAATATATTAGAGACACATGATTTTTCTATAAAATAGAAAAATATAAATATTGCAACTAGAAGCTTATTGTATTGCGACATTCTTCACAAAATAATATAATTATAATGTACTGATCAATAGATCTACTATGTTTTATTTATTAAACGGTTTAAAATATAAGTCTTGCGAATGTATAGGCTCCAACCTATTCTCTGGTTCTAGTGAATATGAAACGAAATGCATGAATTTCTTTCTATTAACTTCATCATATCTGCTGCGTTTCAGTTACTAAACGGTTTAAAATATAAAACCAGTGAATTTTTAGGTTCTAGCTTCTCTAAATCTAGAGTATACGAAACAAACTACATAACTTCCTTACTGTTAAACTCTTGTGTTATTAAAAGTATAGATATTTAGGCGTAATTTTACATAAATTAAAAATATTTGCATCCCTATACGTAGTCAAAAATCGCGTTTGTACTAATGCTTCCCAAAACGATTACAATAACAATTACTTAGAAACTACGATGCTACGAAGACATTCTTGTTACTTTGTTGTTTCTAAGAAAAGCTAAATTTTTTAAAAAGAGAAAACAAATCGTAAGAACTTTAAATGTGAATATTTAAAAACTTCTAAACTCACATTGTCGATTAAAGGTATTTAAAATAATATTACTATAGTTTAATTTACTTACGTTTGTTCCATATATGTTACAAACTTTTCCATAAAACAATATGGATAAAGAAAATTAAAAGTAAGTTTATAAAATGGCTGGCGTTTTAAATCTTCACAAAACTCCAACAACCAAACTTGAGCAGCTTTCGTTGATATATTAAAATTATTGTCATAGTGTAAATTTCCGTAGGAAAATGGATTTGTATAGTCACCGTCATCAACAGGTTGTACGCCCCAAACAAAACGCATAGGAAATTTAAAATTTTCGTATGACTAAAAAAAAAACAAACCATTTTCAGAAAAAAAAATATTTTAATATTATATAATTCTTACCGTTACAGACTTTTCGAACCAAAATTCATTTTTTAATTTTGAGTTATATATTTCAAATGGATGTTTACTTGCTAGCAATTGGAAGTGACTACTCTCTGGCAACTGTATGCCAGGCCAATAAATCACAACTACACTGCTGCAGATACCAATGAGAGCTAGAATTTTTTATATGTAAATAAATATTATAAATAATCTAGATTACAAAAATTCAAATTACTCACAAAATAAAATTATCCACACCCATGCATAATTTGTCACAGCTTCAGTTATATATTTTTCAAAGGCATTGCAAAATTTACTTAAAGATTTATTAAATAATAGAAACAGTTTTTGTACTTGCAGTTTACTACAAGTTGAGAGGCCTGACATTCGCTCCATAATCGATACAGAAGCTGGTAGCCAGGTTACCATTAGGATGTAATTAGCAACAACAACTGTACCAGCAAATACACTAGATATACAAAAATATGTTTTTTTTATTGTACGAGTATTAAAATAATAATTATTTGTATATACAAATAAAAATATTTTTAAATTAACGACACAATGTCTCTTTGTTTATATTTATATATAACTTACCCAAAACATTTAATTGCAGTTATGGAACTTGTGTATGCAGCAAAAAAGGCTCCAGATGTTGTTAAAGAAGTAACAAGCATAGATGGGGCCGAATGTCTTAATGTGAGAGCTATTAAATTTTGCAATGTTTCTGTATATTCCACTTCAACTGTTGATAGCGAATGTGCTGTTATTGTCGATTTAGTAAATCGTTCAGCAAGGACACATTGCCAGATTTTTATATAAATGAAAGCATTATCAGCACCGATTCCTACGATATATATTTCCATATATAAGAAATAAAATAACTATATAATTTAATTTAATTATTTAGTCAAATAATTACCAATTATCACAACCACAGCAAGTAAGTTCATATAAGGAAAGAACGGCATTTCCAATACAATAGTATACATAAAATAAGCTAAACCTAATGAAAATAATACTGCCAAGCAAATCATTACAGTCACAAATATTGATGTTGTGTATAACCATATGCAAGTGGTGACAAAAACAGCACCCAAAGCAACAAGCCAGGTATCTGTTAATAATCTTTCGTTGAAAATTTCATTCTCAAGACCAGAGTCCATAGCAACTACATGCACTATATCATTTTTCATATTTCTAAAAAAAAATTTTAAGTTTAAAAATGTTTCTTAGTAAGCTGCATTATTTAAAACTAAAAATTTACTTAAATTGTAAACATCATGAAATGATATATAAAAAATATATTAAATTAAGCTTTAATAGTTTACAAATATCGAAATTGCTAAAAAATATTTATTTCAATTTAATTCTTCCATAAGAATTTTTTCCTTTAAAATACCTATTCAAAATGCTTTGTTGTCCGAACTTATTATCTGTTACAAGGGAAGATTTTCAACTAAAAGAGGAAACCAAAAAATATGTTCCTGCTCCAAAGATTACTCAAGAAGACGCCTCTCTTATTAGTGGACAATGTTTCAATAATTTAAAAGTCAATGGCGTTCAAAAGCCAAGTAAGCTCTATCCAGAAATTACTCTAGACATCGAGGAATACAAGGACTTTTTAATACGCCTCGAATATTGTAAGAAAAAGATATACAATATGTATTTTAAATGTCCAAATGTAGAATCTGAGATAATCGAAAAATTGCTACGGGATTTAGAGAAAACTACATACCAGGTTGATTTTTCTCCGAATATATATGAACCTCGTAGTTCATATAAAAGAGTGATGAAATATTCAACTAATGGATTAGGTCCGAAAGGCAATGACACCATATATCGGACATACTACCACCGTTTAAAAGATCTCGAACAATTTGCCGAATATTTGCACGCAGTAATGGTAAAGGATAATAGCCGATTGATGCGAGCAAAATTAAATCGTCTGTATGTAACAGGAAGAAGCACTTATTATGACCAAATATGCGTTCCTGGGTTAGAAATTGCTAAACAACATGTAACTCGACCTGGACCTATTGATCGCTATACAGAAAGAAAAGTATAAAATGGGTTTGTAAAAAATTAAAGTTAAGTATACAAAATTTGAATAACTATATACCTATAAAGAAATTATAAGTAGTTTTATTGAACTATCAAGATTACAAATAAAAATAAACAGAAATTAATTTTAATTTTATATATTTACTTACGCTACTTCCCACTCTTTAAATAAATTTAATGTTCTTGTAGTCTCCACCACAGGAACAAAGATCATAGCATATTTTAAAAATATTGCTGAATCCTGTAAATATGAACGATAACATATAATAAAACAATAAAATATGATATTTAACTTACATTTGCCTTTATAAAATTATGATCAGTCAAATAATGCAATATCTCATATACTGTAGGAGTGCATTCAGCAGGACATGAGTTATATTCATTACAATCATTATTTAATTTTAAGTCATAATAATCAAAACACACAACCAACAAGTTTTTTAACATAACGACATCTTCATTCTATAAAAAATAAAGCAATTAAATTGTATAAATAAGTTCATGAGGAATGTTTACCGTTAAATCAAAACAGGAACTTTTATTCACTGAAAGCGCTGCATAATTCGGTAATGACCAAGGACGGCAGCAATTATTTGTATCTCTTTCTATTTCACAATAATCACTATAGTCTGTCACCGAAGTTATTTGTTCTTGCAACTCACACATTCCAAACAAAGCATTCAAATCAAAGAGAGAATCAGTAGCATTGGGCCCAATTCTTTCAACAACAAAATGAGCATACATATTTCCCGGAGAATCGCAAAAATAACCTGCAGCCATATGTATCCCATCACTTTTTGATCGAGATAATGATGCCTGCTTTAAATTTTGCCAAGTAATTTTTTCAGTTTGTATTCTCTGCCGATGATAATCTTCATCAACAAATGTTGTGTTTTTTCCATACTCAAAATGCTCGCTTCTATTTAGCATCTCCATGGAAGACCAAGTTTCGTTTGTAATCTCGTAATCACGAAATATGCCATTATTAACATTCCACTGAGATGAATTCTCATTATTATAAGTAGTGTCAACTTGATTTACATATTGTAATGAATTATGAATATTATCTTTTCCATTCATACCATTATTATTTTTCTTCTTGTGGATTTTTTGTTTACGTCGCTTCTTTTGTTTACAGTTTTTATGGTTACGATGTTTATGTTTTTTATGATGAGAGTTACTAATATGATCGTACCAATTATCTTGATAATAAGGTAAATCATTTGGGTTTGAAACCAATTCATTTTCTTTTATTAGATTATTCCACGCTATTAGCCTTTTACCAAGATTTGTACCTCGGGCTTCAAAACCCTGAAATTAGTAAACATATTATTTACATCTGCAGCCTTATAAATAAAGTATACATACCAATGTAGGATCTGTAAAATCGGGTAATGAATTCGAGGTTAACGAAACTATTATACATGCCACACATAAAACGGCTATTGCAATTACCATTAAATAGGGTCTCCTAACTAAAAGGTTATAATACCAATGCATTTTCAAAATGGTCTCACTCTAAACTATTGCACTTTAATATGATATTTTCGTTTATTTTAGCATTTTTTTAATTTTATTGTGGAGTTTTGTTAATTTACTAATTTTTCTTTTTTGTTACACATTTTAACACTTTTTGACAAGACCATTGATTTGTTCATCATTTTTTTAACTGATTTTCTTTACTACATAATTTATTTTCCAATATTTTTGCATATAAAAGTATAAAAATCTCTTAATATTTAAATGCCAGAAAAATTTCAAGGGATTTCGCGAAGGAATTTATAATACATAAACAATTTCTAAAAACAGAGATGTAAAAACAGAGATATTAGTATTGCCACCTACCTGTAGATATATAAACCGTTTTCAAATTTAATACACTCATACACAAATAAATAAAATCATACAGAATGAATTAAAAAATTTCTGTGCGTATGGGAGTACTAGAAGTAAAATTCAAGTTACTTAAATTTTATTATTTGAGTTCACTCTAGTGAGGCTTGTTTTACTAATTTATTTTACATGATAAATTTGTTCAATTAAAATTCAAATAAGATAAAAAAATAAGTTAATCAGCAGTACTTCGCGAGTATCTGTTCCAAGGACTGTAAATCCTCAGACATAAACAATCGAATTGAAGGCTCTTGTATTATTCTTATCGATAAGCTTAAATACTTGAGAATTGTTTTCACATATAAACACTTTTATTCCATATGTTAGTAACGGCATCAGGAATACCACTTTGATTCATTGAGCTTAAAAATGCTCTGCGTCGCTAAGCGTGCTTATCCGAAGTGCTTTGTTACTACAAACGCAGACCCGATGACAGACATTTTCCTCTATCTACAAGTCTTCTGACATCGAGATCTAAAACCCACATATTTTTGTTATCCTTACCACGAACAAACTTTACCATGCGTCATAACCTTTACTTAATATTCTTCAACCAGCTCAATTTACCATCGACCTACCTAACAATATGAGTTACAATCTTCCACAATTCCTGGTCCTTTATCTAAGTGACATCGTCCGCGTCTGTTACAACAACCTTTTGTACAGAGTTCGTAAGTTAGTCAGTAAGTACCACCTAGTAAGGGCATCCACCCTTCTTCCTTTTCACTAGTTTTTAAATTTGGATTAGATATATTTATTGTCTAAATACTAAAAATACTAAGCTTTCTGTATTCACTTGTCTGCCTTTCTCTTGCTTTTGACTTTTAAGATCCAATGGCTGAAATTTGTCCACCACAGGTGGTTTTAGTGAGTTCTAGTCTCACACTATGCTTTCTACCTACCAGCAAACAAATCGTTTTGTACTGTGGTGCTTCTTATTTAATATTATGTTTACGCTTTGCAGTTATCGAACCTCAATTAGAATTAAGTTTATTCCTGCAGCAATTAAATTAGTTGTCACACTGGAATGTTTTGAGGCAGCATTATTTCAATTATAAAAAGTCTGTTATGCAATTACCTTGGCAAATTCACAGCAACTGCATAAATTTATCTTGATATTGAATGCGATTATTTAATATTTGAGCATTTTTATATGTATATATGTATAACTGTTATATGTATAATAGTTATATGTATAACTATGTTGTGAATATATATTAGCCTTGTGCGGGTTCAAGTAAATTGATGGTTAATTGAGGGAAATAGTAAATAATGTCGGTATGACAGCGAATGTTGGTATTTACCAGAATTTCAAGTAGGGTAAATTAGATGAAAGTTAGGTATTACAATTTTAAAGCAAGTTTAATAAATAAATAATTTTGAAAACTTTTAACCAAAAATAATAATTAAGTGCAATAAATAAATATTTACATAAGTGCAGTGCAAGAAATCCCTGGGAAATTTCAATTTAGTTTACCTCAATTTACTTGAACTCGCACACGGCCATTATATATATACCTCACAATTAATAAAACTGGCAGCAATGGCAAGTTGCTCTTTATTTATTAATCTATGTTAATCATATGTTTAACGGCTATGATAAACTCGAGATGGTTTAAGGTGCCTATAATAATTATGAATTAAGAAACAACTTTATATTTGTATAAAATCTTTATTTTAACAAAATGATACGGCATATACGCTCGCTGACGCAAATGCGCAAATGTTTAATTTCATGTAACCAACGCCAATATTGTGCATCAAAAAACCAAACTAATGAAAATCAATCTCAAGAAAAAACCCGGCAGAGTAAAGAACATGTTAAGAGATCCGCTGTACCCGCAATAAGAAATCCGTTTGCTGATGCAAGTGAAAAAACAAAACAGACTTACCTAACAATGGTCGAAATATTTGAGGAACGTGATGTGCATCGACGCAATCATGTTGAATTTATATATGCCGCGTTAAAGAACATGGCCGATTTTGGAGTGGAACATGATTTAGATGTTTACAAAGCACTTATTAACGTCATGCCTAAAGGGAAATTTATACCTTCAAATATATTTCAAGCTGAGTTTATGCACTATCCCAAACAACAACAGTGTATAATTGATTTGCTAGAACAGATGGAGGATTTGGGTGTTATGCCTGATTATGAAATGGAAGATATGCTACTTAATGTATTTGGGCGCAGAGGTTATCCCCTACGTAAATATTGGCGTATGATGTATTGGATGCCGAAGTTTAAAAATTTATCACCTTGGCCCCTGCCGAACCCTGTACCGGATGACACAATAGAAATTGCAAAGCTGGCTATTGAACGTATGTGCAGCGTTGACTTACGTTCTCAAATAAATATATATGATACGAACGAAGTCAAACATGCCATTGACGATACTTGGATTGTAAGTGGTATGAGTGCAGAACAGTCTCAACTTTTACGTGATCATCCCCGAGAAAAAGCTTTATATATAGAAGGACCCTTTCTTATATGGCTACGAAACCGATCTATAAATTATTTTACGTTGCGAGCAGATCCCGATTTTGAACAGTTAAAGGATTTTCAAAATAATGATGAAGATTTAGATGGTATGAAATATTGTCAAATTTTATAAGAAAATAGATTATTCTCTTTAAAAAAGTAATATATACAAATACATTCTGGAAGCAGATATAAAAAGTCTTGTGTGTGTGAAATTGAATACACATTGCTTATTTTTTATTATATTTACAGATATATCCCATCTTAAGGCACCTCTTTTTAATCAGTTTACAGTGCATAACAAACAAATTTCAAAATGTCGCTCAGTGCATCAACAGGATGATGGCACAATTTTTGCAATTTGTGCAACGGGAACATCTACAAAAGACTCTCTTCTGTCGTGGGTTCGGTTACTTGAAGCTAATGGCAATCCTTCATTGGGTGAAAAACCAGTTGTATTTAAATTTACATCAGCAGTAGCAGATAAAAGCCTAGAAATTGAAGGACCAAAGGATATAGATCAGAATTCGACATCGAAAACCGCAATTAAAGATGTAAGTTAGCAATAAGTTTGAATAAGTACGTAAAATTTGTTTGTATTTATATTAAAAAATGTTATAAATAAAATTTGGTTTAAGAAAAAGCTAGTTTTATTGAACACAACAGAAATTATTTACTCAAGTAGTTTTTAAGGTGTTTACAAATGCTTAACATCTAAAAATTAAGTACAATTTGCTTAGCAAAAATCAGACAAATAGAAGTTATTCTATACATTCTAATTTTTATAAAAGTTCCACATTATAACTAAAATAATAACATTAAGAAACTATTTCTAAGAGAATTGAATAATAATCTTAATTACTTTTCATTTCCGATTAATTATATGTTTATTTTAATTTGCAGAACAAAATCACAGCATATTTACATTAACTTGTTATTTTATATGCATTCAACGCGATATAAAAATATGTTTCTATAATCCACATTTTTTGTTTTTACCGTTCATACCATTTGTATTTATATATGTATATATTCTACATATTTACAATATGTAAACTCGTATATATAATGTTCTTAATATTTTTAAATGATATATATATATATATATTATCAACGGTTTGTGTATTCATTAATTATACAATTTCCCATTAAATTCAGGAATTTGTAAGTTAATTTTGAAAAACATAAATAGTCTATAGCATAGTATGAACTGTACATCAAAACTCTAGATAAATTTCTATTTAGGTACGACATTAACTTCAAGTTACTGGATCAATGAGAGGAAATACTTGTGTAACGAATCCAATTCCTTTGCTTGTGCCCTCACGAAACAATATACGCATACCTGGTCGCACATACTCTGGATGCCCGACAAACTGGAATAACACTGATGCCTTATCGTTTGTACCAATTTTTCCACAACCCATAATACCACGTATAACTGCAGTTTGCCTTATGCTACCAATATGTACGGTAGTCTGGAAACCAACAAATATTGCTGTAGCATGAAATAAAACTGACACCTTAGCCTGAAATAATAGAAATAAATCATCTCTTTCGAATTGAACTATAGTTATGAATATACCTGGAAGAATATTGTACCACGTGGTTCAACCTCGGGATTACCGGAATCGGTTAAAAGCACCATACCACTTCTTATCTGTGGCAATGTTTGGTTTGGAGTAAACGATAGCGATGCACTTTGCCCAGCGCGTACTACTCTACATGGTGCTTTATTCCTATGAATTGTGTGTACAGTGACAGAGTGAAAATAACCATCTGGTAATGGTCCTATTTTCATGGGCATATTTTCTGTTAGTACACCTTTCACAAGTAAGCCACCTACAACTGTACCGACTTCAGAAACCCGAAATATTTCATCAATATGAAATTCACATGGCTCTTGCTCTAAACGTTCTTTTTCAGCGTTAGAAATACCTGGTGATAGTACATACAAAAACTTTGTCACCAGATTTAGACCGGCGCCAGTAACATTCGATACACAAAATATTGGCACAATATTTGAACCAGATACTTGATTAGACCCAGCTGAAATCACTTCATCAGCATTTGTTATTACAAATGGCACTTTACGACAACCAATAGATGTAAGCAAATTTTTTAAATCTTGAATTGTTTGATCCGGTGATGTTATATCGGTTTTTGTGATAACAATGAAGAAAGGCATATCTAACGCCCTCGCAATAGAAAGATGTTCCTTACTTGTGCTGTTAAAGCCACTTCCAGCCGATACAACAAGCATTGCATAATGTGGTGAGTACCCAGACAAAGCCTGCACTGTTGTGCGAATATAACGTCGATGGCCAGCAAGATCCATAAAAGTAACAAGTTTAGTTGATCGATCACTGATTTCTTCAGCTGTCATCATTTCATTATATTTATAATTAATAATATTCCCCTGCAAAAACAATGAATAGCTAAATATACTGTTTGATCATCACAATTTTTACAAATTAAAATTAATTACCTGGGCATCGAAACCGAGTGTTTCGTGTGAAATACATGATGTTCTGCCTGACTGTATTTCATGCATATGTCTGAACATATTTAAGCGAGCACGCCCTCGTCCATTATCAAACTCTCCTTGCGTTAAAACACCTAGTAAAGTTGATTTTCCCGCGTCAGCACCACCTAAAACAGCCACACGCACTTCTATGTTGTGTTGGTCATCAGGTATTTTGCGTACTAACACTTCAGCAACTGAACGACGGCCAGCGACAAATTTCTTCCTTAGTACTGATGTACTTGCTCCTAGCTTGTGAGCCATTTGTTTGAGAGTAACAAGTGATGCGTTCATATCCTTTTCATTTAAGCCGTGTAAGTGACCAGCATCAGAAACACCAATTTCATAAATAGCTTCTCCATGACCTTCTCGAAGACGCCATTTCATTTGTGTTACTAGGTGTTCGAAACGTTGTTTTGATGGATTTATTAATTTCAATTTGTATTCAATATTTCCCAATTGTGGTTCTGGTGGTAATTGTTCTTGATCAAAATCAATAACAATTTTATTGCAATGCACATCCTGTTCACCCTCACTTCCGCTGCCACTCTGTGAATTACTGCTGGCTGTTAAATTGCCATTCTGCAAATCCTGTTCTTCGTCAAATCCATCGTCTGGTTGATTTGGATCAAAGAGACTCAAAAACGAGTCCATTTTAATACAGTTTTTGAAATAGCTAAAATAAAAGAATTTTGTATTTTTTTTTTTAATTTAAGACATTTTCTTGTTTTTATACACAACAATGTAAATATGATGTATACAAAAAAAATACAAACAATAATAATGACAGAAGTAGAGAACAAAAAAAATGGATGACCTTGCTTAAATTGTTTGTTTATCCCAAGAAATTAAACATTCAAAGTTTTCTTACAAATTAAAAATTTATATTTTCCAATGTGTGGTATTTTTTTTGTTTTTGATAAAATGTTTAAAAAACGAACACCAGAATGAAATCTATTAAAAGTTTTATAAATAGAGTTAAACCAATATATGTATGTTAGAAAAACGAATAAGTATTGATTTTGTTTTTGGCATGTATACAGATATACATATGTATATTGTATATAAACATATATAACTGTATATGTTGTCTGACGCAACTTAAATATATATATGTGTAAGCAAAACAACACAGCATAAACAAATATTTTTAAGCATTAAATAAATTTTTGCTATACAATTTCTTTAATGTGTATTTTATTTTTTATCAATTATATTCCAATTTGCATTAATAATCATAATAAGGAAAATATATATTTACAAAGTAACTGAAATTACAAATAAATCCCAATCTGGTGTTATTCACTATTTTGAAATTCATTAATACATATACATTGCTAAGTATGGTAACTCTAAATTTGCTTATTTGGCAACTACGAAAGAACAAATGTAAACAATGGAATATTTACAAACAAAACTTCTGTTTTATGTTATGTTATGTTTTACATAATTATATTAGACACTTACTTTGTTCACTACTTTCACCTTTTTTCAGTAATTTTTAATACTTTAATTTTTTAATTTTACTGAACTCTTTGTTGCACCTATGCAACCACAAATTTTAAAAAAGATTGTGAAATAATAGCAATTGCAGCTCACAAACATTTTGATATACCTAAATTCCCAGTAGAACTTTTGTGTCTGTGTAGCGTAGCTCGTTATGTCAAATTGTAAGTGTTGCCAACTCATTTTTTGATATTTATATTTAAAAAGTATATTTTGTTTCCTAGATCACATTTCAACCGTACCTAATAACATATGGATTCTAAATAAGACTAAGCAAATTTTGAATTCAGTAACGTAATTTTTGGTATATAAATAAGTATTTTATAATATATAAAAAAAGGTAATTTATATTCTTTAAATATTTGCCTGATTTATCAACAAAAATTTTTTCATTTACAAAAGAACTTTTGTAGCCTTAAATAGGAATGCAGATATCGAATAACATATAGAGAGATCTTCTCTATATGTTATTCTTGGATTTTCTGCTTTTATCAAAAATATATTTATAAATATAAATATTATTATAAATTATATAATATTATATTAAATTTTGAATATAATTATTTGTATTGTATTGTTTATGTTTTATAAAGAATGTTATCAAGATCTTTACATTTTCTTTCAGCAATAAATAGTAAAATTAGTTGTATTGCGTATATATATCGAAATAAGTTAATTGTATAATACCTATATAAAAATAACTCATATTAACGTATTTTCTGTAGGAAAATTATTTACTATGAGCGATTATTGCTCAAATGTCATTAAATTTAAACAATAACTTCAACTGAAAAAAAAGTTATCTTAAAAAGTACAGTGCGGTAGAACTAAACTAGTAGTTATTATATACATTTATTATTATTGTTTAAATGTAATATATATATATATCAACTTGTTCATAAATGTCTTTTAAACTCATCAAATAATTGTATTTCAGGAACCATTAATTGGATATATCAAATAGCATAAGATTTTCAGAGCGTATAATCACGATATATTTCTAATTTTTTAAAATAAGTATCATTTCTAACGATTTTTTTTTTTTTTTGGTTCTTATTAAATAAGGTAAAATATAAAACAAACTTTTTAAATATACAACAGTAATAAAATATGTTTATTATAAAAGGTTGAATATTAAGCTTGTACACACATATTTAACATAAATATATACCTATGATTATATTAATTTACTGTTAAACTATTTTTAAAATATCATCACAAGTAAGAATGCAAAATATATTATAAATGAATACATGATATTTAAATGTAAAATTGTTTAATGTAAGTTCCAAATTAATTACTTTCGTAGGTTCCTTAGGCTATAGCGCTTCGTTTACGTTGTGTTAAGCGTTGTTCTCTCTGAGATTTCTGCACTTTTTTGAAATGATTTAGTAACATCTCAAAATCGATTTTGCTTTTATATTGTAGAGAATCTTTTACATTTCTAATGAAAAAGAAGAAAAAAATTAATATTTATAGAGTTAATTAGTTATTTATCATAACATACAAAGGCGTTTGACTCCAGTAGTTTGGTACACATTGTAAACGATTTTTAAGCAAATTAAATGCATCTGTTTGGGGCAAAAGCATCAATATTCCAAACAGAGCATGTGTTAAATATTGTGCGTCTACGCAATTATTCGATTTAGACACCAGTGTGAGACGTAGAGCTGTAATTAAAATGTAATGTCTTCAATTTAAATATGTATTTTTCAATTAATTATATTTATAATTTTGATTGTTTTGAATTTATTTTCTGTATTAATTTATATAGTTCTTCGATTTATAAAAATTCCCAACGATTAGAAGTTTTTGAATAAAAATAAATAATGCTTATATGTTTAAAACTAGTTTTTATAGTTTTCTAAAACTAGTTCTTATAAAGCAAAATAACTTACGGGCATATATGGGAGACTCGATAAGTTGAACTAATTTATCCAATTCATTTAATAACTCCAAAGTTATTTCAACATCAGCACTGTAAAATATTAAAGTTAATTAAAATTTGACTTTTAATGCAATTAAATTTACATACAATAAAACTACGAGATCTGAGACATGTTGATAGCTTTGCGTTAATAAGCATAAAGACAATGTTGAAACAGGACAATGAGCCCAACTTTTATAAAGGCATACAAAAAGATTTGCAGATTTCTCTGTAGTTATATCACGTAAAGAATTTCGCAATTCGAACAATTCAGTGGACGTAAGTAAGATCATATTTAAAAGCCGAACCATAGTAGATGCAAATTTCAAATTAGTTTTCTCTTCACTAATTATTTCAGCAAATGTTCTGTATATATACTCTGAGTTAAGTAAAATACAAAGTTGTCTGTAAATAATACAAAATGATTAAGAAAAAAATTTGAAAGTATAGAAAAATATCGTACCTTATTATAAGACTTGCTCTATGATCTAAAAATTGTTTTTCTTCGCTAAATAATTTCAATAAACTTAACAAAAATTCTCGATAATGGGTTTTGTTAAAGTCTGTGGGATCTAAAATATGCAACAAAAATTAATATTATATTTATTAAGCATTACATTACATTATATACGACCATTCGAGCTAGTAGAATTCACTATTTCTGCTAACACAGATAATGACTGCAGCACAACTTCATCTGAATTATCAGCTAAAATTTTAAGTAGGCTGTTACCTAAACTGTTTGCATGTATTGACATCTGCAATAAATTTTTTTTTGTTATTAAAACTACTATATTTGAAAATAATTCATTTTGAATTTAATGCTTCAAATACCTCATTTGGAAAATGGGTAAACAAATGATGAATCCATTTTAGTACAGCAACCTTAGTATGTACTGAATTATGTACTAGATATTGCACTAGCACGTCCATGACACTACCTAAATCGATTTTCTGTATATTTTGGGATTTATGCTCTTTAGACGATATTAGCTGTATCATTAGATCATTAACTGATACTGCACAGTCTTTAATATCTAAAAAAAATTATTGGTGAATTATATATTAATCAGTGACAAAGTTAATCATATACTTCTTACTCTTTTTTGATTCAACATTGTACTCCAAGCAAGGTAATATTGCTGTGAATATACCACTGGCATATGGTAATACGTTTGGTCCAAATATTTGTACAAACTCACTAATCCATGTAATTGCTATAGACTGTATAAACATTAAAGCGTAGCTCTATGTATTATAACTGAAGTTTATACCTTTATAAGTTCATTTTGTGATTGAGCATGGTTTATAAGTATATTAATAGTTTGTTCCATTTTAACTGTTGATGAATCTGTGCGTATGGATTTAAGGAATTGGTTAAGTGTTGTTTCGCACCTAAAATAGTATTATTATTATATTGTTATCCAAATTTTAAAAAAATATCTATACATACATGCGCTGTATTTCTAACGTGTTGTCATCTAGCATCATAAATAGACCATCTAATATGTCCGTTATATATTTAACCATATTTATTTCAGGTACAGCGTTTAAAATAGAGATCCAAGATATAACATATTGTCGACCAAATGAATTCTTGGCGTAAACTCTTTCTCTTAATAGCGGTATAAATGCTTCTAAATCGAAATCTCGAGAAGATTCTGTAACAATGTCCTAGAAATATTGTGTTTATGTGACAAAACAAACAAAACAAATAATTTTGTATATATTAATACTTTAAGCAACCTATCCAGAAGTTCACTGCCATCTTTAACAATTTGATCAGAATCGGCTACAAGTCGTGACAACGCGGCAAATAATTCAGGAAAGAATGGAATAATAGCAGAACGAGCAACTTTTACTACATTATATAAAGATTCACAAGCAAAGTAACGAACACGCACATCTGGATCACTCAAGCAATTTACAATTGGCGTAACCAATTCGTTTACATATTTATCAGAGTCCTAAATAAAAAAAAATCATTTTTGAAATATTTGATTACAGTAATGTTAAGGAGTTAACACTCTGTATCGATTTTCACAAATTACTTATGAGGTTTGTTTGAAAAAATATTAACGTGTACAAAATATATACATACATTATATATTATAATCGAACAGATGACTACATAATTCTTACATATGAATATTGATACCCACTTTTCCTAAACCCAAACTTGTTGCAGCTAGCCCAATTAATCCGCCTTTTCTACGATTTGGATCTCTGGACGTGGCGAAATCATTTGATAATACATCTATTAATTTTCTTATTTGTGCAGAATTATTTTTTGAATTAAATTCGGTAACCATTCTGGTAAAACAAAGTCATTTTATACATTTCTAAAGCAATATACATATATAAAATTTCATACTTCTCTATTTCCTGTGAGGCAACTTTACGCTTTTCATACACCTTATCCCCTAAAGCTTTAGCACAGGATTCACTTAACGGCGCAAATGGAGACTCCATACTTTTTAACAGTTTTTAATAGTTATAGTAAATGATATAAAAATGGATTAAAATTTTTAAACGATGATTAATTTCTAATTTGTTGATAATAACAAAAACTCCTATTTGAGAAAGTGTTGTACAACGAATTATGGTTGATCAGCTGTGCTATCAAATAGTATATGAGCGAATTAATAATACTATACATGTAGTAAATATAGAAATAATAATATATATAATATATATTTATTATAATACTGAAATTTGTATTATAATAAATGCCCCTTTTTTGTATTGTAATAAACGCAATGTAATCATTTGGTAGTCGAGTCATAATGCTCGATTTATTATAATTAAAACGTAATGTTGTATTTATATTGTGTATTATTCTTTAAAACATTTTTATTTTTATAGATTTTAATGTAAGTTAGTAAAATATTTGATTGTGTATAATTGTTAATGTACTGTTTTGTGTTTAAATGTACGAAACCATACAACACGTTGCGTACTGTACAGTTTATTTATCCTCTCATTGAACATATCCAAATTATTCAACAGAACTGATTAGTTTGTGCACAGAATAAACCACAAAAAAAATCAATTATTTCCTAAAACCACTGATGATGAGTACTTGGCAATATTCGAATCAGCGTTGTATGGTCAGCCAAATTTCAATAAATTAAAATAAATTTTTGTTTTTCTCTTTCTTTGCTATTCGAATCCATCTAACCTAAAAATTATATTTCAGTAGATTATAAAAAGTCAATACCTGCTTGAACGTATCAAAATATACTCTAGCTATAATTTTTTAAACTCTTTACCAGAAGAATTATTTATTATCAATAAAACAAAACATTTAAAAATAATTATATCGTTTATTTTTAAAAAAGAAGTTTTAAAAGCATACTGACTTTATTAAAGATTTAAAATTTTGTATTTAAAGAGTTTCTCAAAAAATTAAATATAAAAATATGTGCAAAGAATAAAATATAATTGTATATAAAATAAAAATTCATACAACATAACAGTTTTACAACTAAAAGTGATACTGGAAGTAAATATACATAATGTACACAAGATTACAAAATAAAATTATGAAATATTCTCAATATTAATATTGTAGTTTTCTACTTCTTCACACATTTCATTAAAGCTTTTAATGAAAGATTTCAGTTCAGGATTTTCTGGATTATCCTTTCGTTTTTGCTTCTTCTTTGTATTGATATCATCGTGCTGACTGGTATTATTCTCATCTTCACCAGATTCGTCACTATCAAGATACCTTAAAAAATTTTTACAAATTTTTCGTTTCTGCCTAAGAGGACGAATATAAGTACGATGTGAATCCTAAAAAAAATTTCTTTTTTAATAATAAAATATAGAAAATCACAAAAATATAAGTAATTTAAAATATTAAATGTTTGAGTCTTATACTACCATTAAAATTAGTCTTAACATTTTAAGGCCCTGTGGACTCAGTCAGAAAAGTTATTCACTTTTTATTTATTTAGCGACATCGTTTTGTAAAATACTACTTTAATATATATATCAAAAGTAGTAAGATTTAATCGCATTTTTAAACTACATTTACGTTAAAATGGAGATTTAACATATGTTGTTTATATATATTACATACCTCTTGATTAAACGTGCATTCAGGCTCAAAATCTTTGAACAAATTGGATTCTTCAGCTTGTGATTTTGTTTTTTCTGAGTTTTTTACACTTTGTTTGACAATTTTCCCATCTTTAGGGCTTTTTTTCTGAAGACATTTTGGTGAGTCGATAAAAGTTGAACATAACATTTGTTTTATACAACGTTGCTTTGGCCTATCCAAATAGTCATCAAACACTTCTTTGATTGGTTGAGATTGTGGGTGCGGTTCATCATTATTTATTGGGCGCCATTTTTTCAAATTTTGCAATTTTTCACTTAAGCTTTTATTGGCATTGTTTAGATTATTATGACATATCGAATTGTGAATTTCCTCACAAGTAATATCATTTTCAAACCCAAAAAGATCTTCATGGTTTCTTTCTGAACAATCACTTGTTTTTGTTTCACTATTGACATGTTCTTCTATTGTAGCTGTATTACAGTTTTGAGGTTGATAAGTAATATCATTTTCAAACCCAAAAAGATTTTCATTGCTTTTTTCTGAACAATCATTTGTTTTGGTTTCACTGTTGACGTGTTCTTCTATTGTAGCTGTATTACAGTTTTGAGGTTTATACGGTGGAAGCACTACAACTTCTAAAATATTTATAGTTTTTAGAGGACTACGATGAGACAATGTTTTTCTAGGATTCGGTATATGACGCAGATTGAATATATCACAGTTTTCATCGATGATTTTATTATTGTTCTTTTTTTGAGGTGGAGGTTTATTTTCTCCGTTAGAATCATTTGAAGAAAAAGATGATAAAGAATTCGATGCATTTATTACTATAGTTTGTGGAATAGAAATGCAGTTTTGCGATTTATTTGCAGAATTTGGTGTTTCCAAATGAGTTGCATTCTTATTATTTTTCATAGTTTCACCCAACGAATCGATTTCCAAATTTAAATGTTGCTGCTTTGTTCGCTCCATATTCTTTTTAGGACTCTTTGGAATGTGAAAACTGGAAAATGATGGTAAATTACCAGAGCTTCTATTAAAATCAAGTAAAGAAGGTAATTTTGGATCTATGACACGCCATGGTTTTGGACTATGCATTGGGGTAGGTGGTTTAAAAATTGGTGATAAATGACTCTCTCGATTTGGTACAGTCTGCTTGTTAATAGGAGTACTAACAAATTTCTTGGCCATATCTAACAGCATTTGCTGTAAAAATGAATTTTTTTAATTTATTAATTTAATAAATAAAAATAAAATAATACCTTATTTTGACGATTTTTATCAGCTTGTTGCATTATGACCCTACGTGCTAAGCTGCTAAACGTTCCTGGATTATCATGCGAAGATTTTTTATCTTCAATATGGGATTGCACATCTATATCCGAATGGACATCGTTGTTAAAGTCATCAATTTCTTGTGGTAATATCTCTATGGGAGGTGGACAGCTGTCTACAGGTGCAACAATTTCTAAATTTGGAGCTTTAACTTTATTTGCAAATTTAACTTTTTTTTTGGAAGGTGCTTTCCGTTTTTTTTCTCCAACCTTTGTCGTCTTAATACGTTTAATAACTTTTTTATTCTTACGTTTATTCGCTAGTTGAACCTTTCCTTCAGTGATTAGTTTATTAATAACTTCAGCAGCAGGATCACTATCAGATTCAGAGCTTTGTGTAAGTGACAAAAATTCATAAACATTGTTTTTTGAATTATTTTTTGACTTTTCTTGATTTATTACTACTACACCTTCGTTACAATCTTTGAATTCATTTGGAATATTTGCTTTATGAAAAAATTTACCACGATGTTTTAAACTTGTAGTCTCGTTATTGTTATTAATTTGTTCGAAATCCTTTGTACACCATTCATCGTCTGAACAAATGTCTACATAATTTACATCTGTAATTTACATACAACAAATAATTAATTTAATTTATTCGAAAACAAGAATTTGTTCAGTTACCATTGATTGCTTTTGATTTAAATGGAACTACATATTGTTGCTCTGTATTTAACACATTAACTATTTCTGTTTGTTTCAACTTTTTCGATTTTGGAATTTTCTCTTCATTTTTATTATTTTTGGGTGCAAATTCATTCTGATCAATTGGAAATGTGGGTTCTGATTGCTTTGAAATACTTAGCTTCTTAAAGTTTGACCGATCGGTGTTAGTTATTTCAATTTCTAAAATCGAATTTTGATTTTGAGATTCCTTTTCTAACAGACAATTTTTATTATTTGATGTCACCGTATTCGACTGCTTCTTTGCGTTCTCGGTCTGCCCTTTTTAATTTATTATATATTTAATTGAATTAATTAATTTATAAAATAATAATACTTACTTGATTTATGTTTTTCTCTCCTATGATTATCTATAGTTTTGAGAGATAGCCTTCTTAGTTTAACTACACATTTTCTTTTCGGCCATTTCCATCCATTTACTTGCTGCAATAAAATTTCACCAACTTCTGTTTGATGTTTTTACATATATAAAAAAAATAATTATATGTATATATCAATTAAATATAAGAATTATGTTCTTTACGTTTTTCTACATTTTGGTTTTCATTGTGTTTAGCTTCAATAATTTGGCCGACTGTTTTTGATAAAATCGACGTTTTAGTATTTATTTTTTCTTTAGTGTATGCATTTAAGTTTAATGCTCTAGTTCGTAAATTTCTTCTGGGAAGTTCATCAGAATTTGTGTTATCTACAGACGAATTTCGTTATATACTCATTTAATATAAAAATTGTGAAAGAAAATTACCAATTTTACTGTTTTGAGAATTCTTGTCATTTGTTGCAGTTTTTCTTCCTACAACGCAATTTAAAATTTCATTTCCAGCAGCGCGTAAGTTTCTAGAGCTCCGGCGGGTTGGCTGAATTACACGTTGATCCAGCAACGAAATAGATTTGTTTGGAAGTTTCTTAATTGTTTTAAGAGCAGAATCACTCCCGCTATGTTTTGAATCAGGTTCATTTTTTCTTAATTTTTGTTTCACCATTATGTATGAATTCGCATTATTACGCACTGAATATTCCAACCGAACATAAACATCCTGCTGCTTCCACTACATATTTTAACTACCCGCCATTTTTATCTCAAATTTGTACAAATAAGAAAAACTGAAGAGTTGTATTTTTAGTTATGATTTCAACTTATATCAACTACACACATTCTTGCATATAGTTTTTATGTAGCGTTTTCAATTGAAATCTTACACAAATAACGAATGAAGAGTAAATAAAAATAAAATAAATTAACAAAAAACTATTTTTTTCTCTTAAACAAACAAATATACGAATAAATTGTGTTATACAAATAAATATTGTTAATAAGCAAAATAAAATCGTATTAGGTTACTAAAAATAATTTGTGCAAAATAGAATAAATTGCTTATTCAAACAGCGAGTAATTGTACTTTTGCTTCTTTGATCCGCGATACTAGTTAAACATGTCAAAATTGTTATGTTCGATAGCAAATACATATAATATTAGTATTTTATCCGCGAACAGAAGTATTAGTATTTTATCACACTACTTGTGAAGTGGTTAAATATTTTAGCGACTATAGAAAAAAATGTCACAAAACTGATAAGTGAACCTTGTTTGAAAACTTCAACAGTCATTTGTCAAAAATTTGTAAACAAAAATTAAAACAAAATTAAAAAGTTTCACAAATTTGAAAAATATGCAAAATTATAAAAAATAAATATAATTATTGAAAAATAAGTATAATTGCAAAGCGCTTTAAATTTTTTAACTTATTAGTTCCATAAATATTCTAAACTAGTATTAATTTTGTTATAAAAGGAAATTTCAAAATATGATGCATTCTTAACATTGGTTTTAATTCATTACTCATTTTTATATCCAATTTTATATTATTTATTTATTTCTATGCTAAGTAAAGCGAGACATTGGCATCACTGTTGCAATCTGTCAAGTATTATGTTTTGGCAAATCGCAAATACTGCATATGTCCACATGATGCAAGCAAATTAAATTTTGTATAAAATAAATAGTATATATAAAATTGAAAATTTAAATGAGTTTAAAGTAATGGTAAGAATGTGTGAAATTTCAAAATAAAACACTTAAATTTTTTCTTTTTTCCCAATTTTCAAATCTATGAAATTTTTAATTTTTGATTGAATTTTTTTTTACATATGATTTTTGACATATGATTGCCTCGTTCGCTGGAATTTTCAGCGAAGATTCACAATAGTTCGCTTATTGCGTTGGTAATGCTTTTTTTCGTACTAGCCGAATTGTGTGGCCAGTATACAGCTACTGGCCTACATAGAGAAAATAATGTTGTTGTTTTGCGTACATTTCAGTTAGTATAGTCCAGCAACTTAATGTTTTTTGACACACTTGCAAGCCACCGAAACGGGCCTATTATTATTTGTGTTTTTTAAAACATAAAATTACGTTTTCTTTTTAAATTTTGACTGCAGACAAAATTTTGCATGTATAATGTGAAAATGAGTATGTGCAAACATCTTACCAAAAGTCTAGCCAGTGTAATAGCAATATTGTGAATTAAATGTGAGTCGAAGAAAACAGAAACGCGAAGCAAAGTAAAAAGTGCAGTCATGAGTATAAAATTGTTCTACAAACGCTACGAATGCAACCATGTAAAACCAGCGGTAGTTGGTAATCGGTAAGATTTTTGATAATAATTGCGGGAAGCAAAAAATATTTGCTGCGCATTGCCTAAACTGCTGGTTATTCAGTTGACGTTGTGGTGAACTAGTAATAAAGTAGAATTAGTTAATATAATAAAATTAACTACATGAGTGAAAATAAAGCGGAAGTTATGCACAACGACGAAAACTTGTATCCACAAAGCAGGTATTATGTGATATAAATAAAAAGAATTAATCAGGACGATAATAAATTATTAAAATTTAAAAGGGCGCAATTTATTTTTGTAAACGTCATAATGACGAAAAATACGGACAAAAGAGAAATGGCAACATTAAGTTGTCAAACAAAACCGCCGCAGTCAAAAAAGTAGAGTAAAATAGTTATAATATAATAATGGAGCATAATAATATAACATTTATATTATTTTAAAAGTATGTCAAATATTATCAATTGTTATAAGGTCCATAATGAAAACTATATCAAATAAAAGTTCGTTCAAGCCAAGGCATATAAATCAGTGATTTTTGGTTCTGCAAGATGTGAATTATTTGTTTAAAATTTTAGAGCATATAAAAAGAATGTTGTAAAACATCTAAATTCCAAAAAGAGAAATTTTCACTAAAATTATACCAGAATTAAAATACACCACCGAACTTAAAAATGCTGATTAATAAATTTTTTAAGGTTGTTGACATCATAGTGGGTCATTGAAGTTTTAATATAAAAAATATATGTTTAAAATTCGTTAGTATTGAATTAAATACAAAAAAATAGTAAAATAAAATAAGTTATTGCAATTTTTTTAAATAATTTATTTATTTCAAGGAAACGTCGTAAATATTCTACATCAACTGAAAAATCTTTAGACTCAGTTCGAAAAAAACCAAATATAGAACTGAGTTCCTCTCCTCACTTGCTTACAGTCGAGGATCTTGAGCAAATGGGTATAAATATGTTGGATTCTGAGGAGAGTGTGTCGTCAATTGCTTCAGCAATTGGTTTAACCTTATCAACAAGTCCTGATGAAAATTCTAATGAAGCTACACCCAATTTAGATGCTCCAAAGTATCAAGTTCGTAGTTACAATAGAAACGACACGTTGGACATATCTACTGATAGTAATAATTCTACTTTGGTAGAATGTAGCACTACAAAGAAATCAGGGTTACTACAATATACAAACAATAATTTACAAGACATAGAAACACATAATAACAAAGTCCTTGAAAAAATTCAAGATCCTCTACAAAGAAAAATTTCTGCATTAAGCACTGAAACAATTAGATTTAGTTCCGGAGTAGGAACTGCATCAAGCGCAAATAATATACATTCACCTGCCAAAAACACTCGTAGTCCTTTAGCGACTGTCGTTTGTAACAATCAAAGAACTGGCTCTGATAAAGTGCAACCAAATGAATATCATACAGCAGAGGTAAAAAATTTAACGATTATTATATTGTCATAAAATAAACTAATATTTTTTTATAGAATTCACCAAACAAGACCAAACGACCAGACAATTCACAAAAATGTTCTTGCATATCAGTATTACCTTCCACAAGTAAAGCTTTAAGAAAACATCAAGAGGTATTAATGCAAAAAAGACAGCAAGAAATTAAAGACGCTAATTTAAAAAATCGAGATTTCTTTATGTTTCGTAGTACAGAACAAAATTCAACCAATTATTTTGGCTTAATGTCAGATGAAATAATTCTTCAAATTTTTAAGTGGTTGTCTAAGAATTCATTACTGAATTGTAGTATTGTAAATCAACAGTTCAATCGTTGCGCACGTGATGAAATGTTGTGGGCACGTTTGGATTTGGGTAATCGAAAATTACGACCAGGTGCAGTAGGACATATTTTAAGTAGAGGCGTGGTCGTATTACGTTTGTCACAAACTGATGTAAGTACTTTTAAATAAATTTAAATGCAAGAATTATTTCCAAGACCGCTGATGATGGGTATTTGGCAATACTCGAAACAGCTGTATGGTCAGCCAAAAATTCAATTAATTAAAATAATATAAAATGAATTTTTGTTGTTGTTCACTACTGTTCGAAAAAACCTCTTTATAAATTTAAATATAAATTTTAGAATTATTTTTATATTTTTTTCTCTTTTTCTCTTTTTTATATATAGATATGTTCTCCAATTTTTGATAATAATTTTTTCTCTAAAGACAAAAATCTTCAAAATAAAATACAATATTTAGACTTAAGTTTGTCATCAATAAAAAAACCAGATCTTAAGCAATTATTGGCACAATGTAAACAGCTTAAAAAGTTAAGTCTTGAGTTTGTGGCTGTAAATGATGACATTTGTAATAGTATTGGGCAGAACACAAATTTGGAGGCTTTGAATTTAGCAATGAGTTCTGGTATCGAAGCTTGGAGCATGCGAAAGCTTATGGATTCATTAAAAAAGCTAGTCAGTCTTAATATATCATGGGCAAATCTATCGGTTGATGCTGTAACTGCACTTGTCACTAATGTGACACCGAATATCTTACGTCTTAATATAGCTGGCTGTCGCAAGAATATATTTGATTCTCGTAAGTTCCTTGTATAATAATATAATTTTTTATTCATTTCTATTTTATAGATTTAAATACATTAATTAAGCGTTGTACACAATTATTGGAATTAGATTTATCAGATTGCACCGCACTAACAGGTTCAGCAGTCTCAAATATATGTAAGTCAGATATGCTGGAATATGTTTCGTTATCAAGATGTTATGGCATACCTTTGGCATCTTTTATGTAAGAATAATATTCATTAGTTTTCAGTATTTGTCTTGTAACTTTCTTAATTTTACAGGGAACTCACTTCATTACCTACACTAAAATACTTGGACGTTTTCGGTATGCTAAATGATTCACATATGAAATCAATGGAACGTGGGTTTCCTTCAATATCATTTAATAAATTCGTGAATAGTGCTGTGGCTAGACCCACAGTTGGTACAAAAAGAACATCAATTTGGGGTTTAAGAACAAGAGATTAATTACATATATTATTTTTATTGTCTGCTGTTTTATTTCAAACAAAACAATTAAAATTCAAGGATTTTAAAACTAAAATTTTTTTTCGTGAGCTTATTGACCTATATTAGACACTGTTTCATTCGTTACATTAAACAGTCAAATCTCAGGTTTATTATAATCGTAATATACTTATTCACTGAGTTTTGTTGGTTTATCTTACAAGTGTGGTTATATTTATCATTCTTTAATTGTTTAGATAACACGATGCTTGAAAAATAATTGTCAGTGGGCAAAAATTTTTCATCCAAACTTTGTGAGTATCACGTGTTGTCATCAAAAAAAATATAAACATTAAAAAGATATTTAAAAATTGTAATAATCCGTACTGATTTTAGAGAAATGACAATAGCTAATGATAATTGCAAAGTAACAATAAGAAATTGTGTGATATTTATAGCGAAGATTTTGGAACAGTGACTTATCAATAACCTTAGAATGGAAATAGTTTACTCTGCAATTTGAATAGTTCTCCATAAAGTAGAATCTTAATCTTTCTTTCTCCACTAAAATATGATAATCTAAACTTAAGAATATAACCAGACTGCAGTTCAACAGCAACGTCCACTGATCATCGATAAATAGATTAAAATGCAAATCCTTAATTATCTGATACTCATTAAGATCATCTCATATTCTAACAGAATATATAAGAAAAAAATAAAACTATAATATAATATACAAATTATTTTATTTATTTTCGATTTTTAATATTTTACAAAGTCTTATTTAAATTCTTTTATTCATTTTCTGGAGTAACCACCTCAATTGGACGACCAGAACGTTCACCATAATCGGTGTCTGTACGACCACGTTTAAATTCATCAAACCAATAACAAATGCTTTTTTCCGATGGAGCAAAGTCCGGAAAACATTTTTGAAGCCATTGCTGAGCGTGTACAGTATTTTTTTTCATCAAGAAGTAATGATGAATTAACACACGAAATTGTTTTGAAAATAACAAAAGTTATTATATGACAGCTTCACTTAAATGGCTGTCACTTTTTTTCTGATTAATCGAAATGTCGAGATTTTACACAGAAGAAGATTGGTACTTCATAAACGTTAAATGGATTTCACAAGGGCAGCGCAATCTGTGTGTAGTCACACGATTTATTGAGTGATGTGTTAAATATTATTGGCTTTAGATAAATTGATTTAGATTTGTGTAATCTTATACACCAAAATTGAATTTTAATTTTTTAATTCGATTTAATTTAACTTTTAAAAGGCAAAATAGCATAATATTTTATTTAAGCTAATAGGAATATTGAATAAAAAAATATGTAAAACATAATTTTATCAAAAACATTTTAAGATATTTTGGGCAAACACAGTATTATTGAAGCAAATGTATACATATATAATTATTTATTTGGGTTCCCAGTATTCTATATAACAATCTTTTAAATTCGTAAATTCATTAAAAATTTAATTTGAATTAAATTAAATTTACTTAAATTTACTCTAAATCTTAATCGTTTTCGACATCGCGAAGGATATGGTTATTTTAAATATTAAAATTTTTTGCCGTCTAAGTTATTGAAAACTATAATTAAATAACTTTTACTTTGTTTAATTTGAATATAAAATATTAATAAACTTAGAAGTTTCTTTTATAAACTAAGATATATAAATTATAAAATACCTCTACAACTTTTTAATAAATTTATTTTATAGGAAGATGTAGTTTAAAATATTATATAATAATTTCGTTCTCTTTAACAAAAGCTGCCAAAGAAACAGAAGTACTACAATTTTTACAGATCTTTTGCACTAAAATTATGTATAAAAAGAATTTTGAGTTTTATAATTAAAAAAAATTTAAATTATTTTTCTCTTCATTTTTGTAATAAAAATAAAGAAAAAGTTATAATTTACAGCACAATAATTTAAACAATTATTTAATTATTATATAAAATATAATATAAGTAAATATTTTGATCTTTGTGTAATTATTTGCCAATTAATTGTTTTTAATTAAAAAGTTATATAGGAATTTAAAAAAATTTAAATTTTAAAAAAAATTATGTAAAAATATTTTGTTTAAGTTTTAAATATTCTAAAATGGAATTTATTGTTATAAGAAATAATATTCTATATATATATAGCGTTATTGGTCAATTTTCTTAACTATAATATATATTCCTATCATAATCGTAAGTTAAAAAACATATTCGGTTAAAAAATCCAATTCACTAGGTCTGCTCTTTATTAATAATTGCAATTATTAAAATATTAATTAAATTACTAATATTACTAACTATTTTTAATTTTTTTTTTTAAATTTGCTTCTATTAATTAAAATATGCACATAAGTAATAATTAATAATTATTTTATATTACAATAAAAAATTTATTATTTACAACTAAATTTTTTTAATTTGACACAATTTTTTATACATTCTTATGGAAAAATTAAAGTTTTAATTTATTATATAATAAAATGGATTTATTTTTTTAGAGGTCTATTAATAGTCGATTCAAAAATTTCTATTAGAAAATTTTGTTTTTTTTTGTATGTATCAGTTTTATATATAAAATTTTCATCATGGCAGTGGTTTGTTTAGATGCAATTATTTTCATTTGAAGATATTTTATATTATTAATTTTTAATTAATTCCGACTTTATAAATTTTGTATGCTAAAAAAATATTAAATAAATAATAAAATTATTTATAATTTAACTTTTTAATTTTATTCAACTTTTTTTAATCATTTAATTCATGTTAAACAAAAATAAACATTTAACATTAAAATTAATTTTAATTATAACAGATAAGTGATTAAAAAACTAAACTTATTATATCCATTACTTGCATGGTTAGGGTCAGTGAGATCCTTTTATATTAGGTGTACACCAGTGTCTCATTAACTGTAGAGATGATGCACAGAAATAAAAAAGTGAAAAAATTAAAAAAATAAGATTTTTGGGATGCCCCTAACTAGTTTGGTATAAGTGATTTCTGAAAAGTGATATGCTATGTATGTTATCCTTTATTTTGCAAATTAAAAAAAAAGTTTTTGGAACGCTCCTAACCTGCTTGGTAGAAGTGATTTCTATAAAGTGATATGCTTTGTATGTTATCCTCTTTTTTTACATACGAAGTTTAGACTAAGTTGAAGAATTTTTAATCTTGTGTTCTATTATGTAATGGCATTTGATTTTTTAAAAAAACATTATCGCAGAGAACCACTAAAACTTTGCCTCAAGTTACTAAGAAAATTGAACTCGGCACTGGTGTACACAGACGAAAGTAATTTATAGAATTATGTTAAATAAAATTATAGTTTTTTGGCTTTTATAAATTCGATATACAGTCATGTTAGGAATATGAGTTATTTATATTCTAAAAGAAACAAAACTATTCGAAAATGTGAACATGTGCCTGAAATTGATAATAGAATGGAGAGAATATGAATATTAAATGTTTTCTTTTTTATTTTAAGTATAATATATTTAGTTATACCGGAGGATAGGAGATCTCTCTTGTGTTCACATTTACATTTAAGCATTTCATTTTATAGTTTAATAAATAACTATGTTACACACAAAAATTTTATCGGAGTCCAAACCGTTTCGAGTATATAGCAAAGATATGTTAAAACACATTTTCAGCGATGATATAATGACTTTCAGTTATATTATTATGTTTTGGAAATATTATTTATTAGAGGGTTTCACAGTGTATTAGAAGCCAAAGCAAATAGCATCGTCTATATTAGGAAAAAAATCCTTTAAGCACTTTAAATTTTTTTTTAAAATAATCTAAGGTAAGATTACCATACATATATAATAAAGATTGGCACATTTAGAACTAATTAAAAGACTAAATACGATCTAATGTCAAGACCTAGATTTAATTCAGTTAAAGTAAAATAAAAAAAAAGAATCTAATCTAAAATGGCTCTAAATATAACTGAAAAACTGTGAAATATTTATATGGCATATAATTTCAATGTAGATATAAATGAAGACATCAATTTTTCTGCTAATTCATAAGTATTTAAAAAAAATACTGCTTTTACTATAAACCTTTGTTAGGTTAGAATGACAACTCTGCGAATTTAGGATCGACTCAGCCAACTGAACTATTCTTATGTCGCTGAAACCTACTTTTATATTCATTGTCGGTTGGAGCACCATATCAATCCTAACTAATTTGCTTAGAAGGAGAGTAGATATATCTTCTTTGAACTTTTTTCATTCATCCTACAAGTGCGATATAACATATATTACCTCCACTTAGTTATTAGTGGGAAAATTATGTCAGTTTCTCCCCAGAATAGATAATGGTGTTGGGACCAATATGTTATTGATTAATTTTCAAATATAAAATTATATAAATATATATATATATTATAATAAAAATAACTATAAAAATTAATAATCATTTATAAATTTGATCATTTTTAACTAAAGCTTTAGAGTGTCATAATATTTCAGCTAAATGCTTAGCTTTAATTATTGTGTGATTATTTATAGCACAATAAATTATTAGTGAAATATCTAAAATTAAAAAAATGTCAGCTAACATATGGGAGGTTTTAAATGATCTATTTTATAAATAAAAATAAATTTTTGCATTCTTATCACAAAAACTATAATAAAGGATGTTAGAATAGTGTACTTGCAATTGTAATAGTTCATAATTAATCGATAGTTTTTTCCATATTCTTGTAACTGAAATAGAGATTTAGACTAGCAATAGAGTACTCTTATCTTAGAAGATCATTTGTATTATTTTGTAACTGCATATATATAAGTATAGTCATTTGCCATTTAATCTTCTAGTACACACTGTATCAGAGATTAAAAAATAATGAAAAATTAAGATTAAAAAAAAGAAGAGTATCTTAAATATAAAAAATTGAAAGTAATTCTAAATAATGATAAATAAGCACTATATGGTTTATAGCATTAGGTTTCTTTTTATGAAAATGAAATTAACTCAAGCTAAATAGAACTGTAAGTTTTTAGAAACAAAATGATTCATCTTAAAAACTATGGATATTGTATGTAGTATTTTCAGATTATATA